AAATTTGGATAATCACCTATGTAATATTTGTATTATGGCAACTGTTACTAATGGTTGGGTTAGGATACCTGTAATGGTGATCGCACCAGCATGACTGGCAGGTCATGGGGCATTTGTGTAAGTATGGCATTACACAGAGAAATGCAAACCATCACATTGGGCAGTACAAATACTAGATAAGTTCTTGTGGCCATGTAAATCTATTGAAATTAGATAAAAAGAAGTTTATTTTGAGAAGACCCAAGTAAAGAGGTAGCTGGATCTTTGACAACTCTACTGTAAAGGCTAGTCTAAAGAAATGGATACTAAGGTCATAGTATCTAGTCATAGTAGCCAGACAGGCAAGAACCTCTAGGTTAGGAGTTTCAGAGGTACCACCAATCAGGCTGCCAGAATGAACTGGAGGAAAAGGATATCAGGCTAATCTGATATACTGATAGACTGATTATAGTTCTACATAGGCTATCTGGATTGGAAGTTTGGTAAAAAGGCTAGACAAAAAACAGTGATATACTAAAGTACTGGGGTTATGCTATGAAGTAGATGCTAAGAACTAAGTGAACTCTACAAGGGCATAGCAGTTCAATGGTTAGCCCTAACCACAAGTGTTGGTTCTGCTATAGCAATACCTAAATCAGCTGTAAAAATAGGTACAGAAGGCTTTGGAAGGTTTACCTCAAGAATAAATTAGTCCTAAGTTTAAGAATAATGATCTAGGCATCTGAGATGACCAATGATGTTAATACAGGTTACAGGTTCAGAGAGTTTAAAGTGGAACACCCAAGCAGAAGTGTTAGGTATAGCAATTGGTAAAGAACCTTTAAGCAGACTTCTTAAATAGGTAATATAGAAAAGTTATATGTATAGCCAATTGTACACTCTTCTGTAGTGGTTTATTGAACCAGAATACCAATAAGTGATTAATAAAAGTCAAAAAACCAAAGAGGTCACTTTAATATCAAAAAAAAAATGAAAAATATTTTAAAAATACAAAATTATAATATATTGTAAATATATACAAATAGTTTTAAATAAATTCAAAATATTTTAAATATTTGCAATGATTTTAAAACATTACAAATCATTTTAAAATTTTTTGAAATATTTCAATTTATTGCAAAATATATTGAAGTTTGTAATATTATTAATTACTAATAAATAATTTAATATATTTATTAATTTTAGTAATATTAATGTATATAAAGCTGCAGTAATTAATAAAATGCATTATTTATAGTTGGAGTTATTTAATTATTAAATCATATTTATTTGCAATTTTTTGAAAAATCTTATAGAACTTCAATAATAAATAAAATAAATAAAAGATTAGCAGATATTCCAAAATATCTAGAACTTAAAATATTTAAGTTAAAATTCAATTAATTGCTAGATTTACAGCTAATAAATATCAGTCTTATAAAGCTTATAATATTTGTTTTAGATAATCTAATTGCTAATAAAATATTAAACAAAAATTATTAAAAGTTTATAAAGACTGAAATAATATATATATATTATAAGTTAAAATGAAGAATTTAATGATAATGATTTGAAAATTTTATTATTAAAATTTTATAAAAATAAGAAAATTTTTCAATATTTTTACACTATATTATGATTTTGCAATTTTTGAATTCTATTGAAATAATTCAAATATTTATAAAAATTCTAAAATATTTTTAGAATATTTTATTTATTAATCATTTTAAAAATTTTCACATTATTTCGATCTGTTTCAAATTATTTGCTTTATTTTGTACTAATTTAAAATATTTTACAATATTTTAAATATATTTAAAATGAAATAATATAATTGTAGCCTAGAGCTATATGTAGCCGTAGTACTAAATAATGGTTGGTTACACAAAATGTAAGTAAGTTGTATAAAACGTGATGGTCATATTAGCAATATGAAAGTATAGTATGTGTAATGTATATGCATATGCATATAAAGAAAAAATAGATTAAAAATACTAGCTTTTAGAAAAGAGAACTAATATAAAGTGAACGCCTACTTTAATAAGATTCTTGAAGTAATTGTTTTTTAACGAGAAAATTTGTGTTGGACAGAAGTAGTGTTATACTACACTGGTGTTTCTTTTCTTGACTATACTAATGTGGTAAATGCTTGTATTTTTTTTTTTTTGCTTGCAGACATTGCATTTAGTTCTGATGCATAGGTGTCAAATATATTAAACAAGGTTGGTTATTAGAAAGGTTCCTTTAATTAAACATTAAGCAGTTATATAATATTGATTTACTTACTCCAGTCCTATTAGCAGTCCCATTAGCAGTCCCATTAGTCATCCTATTTGTTCCAGCCATAAATATATATAAAGAAGGTGTGTTATTAGAAATCTCATTCAATAAACATTATACAATGATATCATGTTGGTTACTTAAGCATGACAGACATTTGATTTGATTGGCTTGAAGATTACTGAGTTACACAACATAAAAAAAAATTTTTAGAGTAACCCTTACTATAAAAAACTATATCATCAATTGGCAACTCATAATTTTACATAATAAATTTTTTTTTAATATATATTATAATGTTCTTTAACTCTTTGTATTTCTTCTGTAAAAAAAGATCAGTATAGATCAGTATCATTAAAAACTTTACTTATAAAAGCAAATTTAGGTAAGTGAATAAGTTAATTAGATATTAGTAAGTTATATAAACTTTTTTTTCTTTTTTAACCTTCATTTTTTCTTGGCATATTTGCGTCGTTGGTGTCATCATTTTGAAATCACTGTGGAGTAAACTCTTTGTTGCTGTCATTGTTGCAGAGGTGTCATCTTTGTAAAAGCCATTCAGGTGGAATTTTTTTTTTTTTAACCAATATTTCTTTTTTTCTTCTACATGCTGTTTGCTAGAATCGATCGCTGTCATCATTTTTGGAGTTTTCATAGTGTGAACTTGTTGCTATTTAATTGAAGTGGGTGGATTAGTAATTTCAAAAGCATGAGCGAATGGACCTTTTGGGTGGGTATTGTTCTTTTGTTTAGATAATTTTTTTTTTATCTTTCATCCTTGTATAATCTTGGCATTTATTAACTTATATCAGCTTTTTTGATAGGTTTCTGCATCATTTTCAGTGCATGATTGGAAGTATTGGATCTTTCATGTAGGCATTATTCTTAGTTTTATTGCTTATTCTCTCCTTGACAGGCTTTCGGCATCATCATTTTCAGTTCGTAGTTGGGACTTATAGACAGAAGCTTGTCTGATTGGCTAATAAATTCAATTTTACATTCTATACAGTTTAGAGTACTTTTTAAAAAAGATGAAAACTAATTATAATAATATAAAAAAGGCTGTATAAAAGGTTTCATTAAAACTGTAGAACTTCATAATCAAAAATAAGATCTAATTCTTATTCGTTTAAACTAGTTAGTATAATAATAACCCAATAAAATCAACTTATTACTAAGCTAATTTTTTTAAATGAATGATAATTAGATCTTATTTTTGAATATGGTGTTCTACAGTTCTAATGAAACCTTCTATATCATTTTTTTTTTACTTTATTATGGTTGGTTTGCATTTTTTTAAAAAGTACTCTAAATTATATAAATAATGTAAAATTAAATTGAATTTATTAGCCAATCAGACAAACTTCTGCCTATAAGGTTAGGACAAATGGGCTTTTTAGATATGTAGTCTTTTCCAGTTTTTTGACTTTTTTTTCTCTTTCAGTAGTTCTGTTGCTTCTTACTAATTTTCTCTCTTTGACAGATTTCTGGTGTTATTGGTTTCGGATGTATGGGCCTTTAGATGGGTACTATCTTTTTTGGTTATAGATTTTGGCATCATTGCTTTCTACATTAATTATGAAATAGACCTAGCAGGGTGGGTATTGTCTTTTCTGGATCTTGGAGGGTTTTTTTTTTTCTTAACTAACAATTTTTTTTTTCTTTTTTTTAATTCGTTTTGTTATTAGAGTTTTTGCTGAAGTCTTCGCTAGAGTTGACCTTAGAGCCATCATCTTTGAGGTCATCATAGTCAGTACAATTTTTGGAGTCTGTGTGGTATGAATAGATTGTTCTTTGTTGCTGTAAGGTAAGCTCTGTTATGTTTTTTTTTTGTTCTTTTTTTTGGTTCTTTTTTCTTTCTGATTAGCTAACACTTCTTTTTTTTTTTTTATATACTTATTTCATTGCTGGAGTCATCCTTGGAACTGTCACGATTTTGTTAGCTTGGAGTCTGGTAATAGAATTTTGCTGCCATAGAGCGAGCAGCTTTGTTTCAATGAGTAAACTTTGTTGCTTTTTTTTTTACTTATTTTGTTGGAGTCATTCTTGAAGTCGTGAATAAATTCATTGCTGTGTGTGAATTTGTTGCTGTGTGTGAATTTGTTGCTATGTGTGAATTTGTTGCTGTATGTGAATTCATTGCTGTGTGTGAATTCATTGCTGTGTGTGAATTTGTTGCTATGTGTGAATTCGCTGCTGTGTGTAAATTCGTTATTGTGTATAAATTCATTGCTATGTGTGAATTCGTTGCTATGTGTGAATTCATTGCTATGTGTGAATTTGTTGCTGTGTGTAAATTCATTGCTGTGTGTGAATTCATTACTGTGTGTGAAATTTTAATGCTACATTTTTATCAGAGTTATTATAAATGAACATTCTTAAAGTTTTTTTTTTAATAAAATTTTTAATTAATTTTAATAAATTATTTATATATATTATTTAAAATTTATATTTAATATAATAATAATATAAAAAAGTAATATATATACGGAGATTAGAATTTTTTTGATGCAGATTTATATTTAATTAGAGTTCATTATTATTTAAGTAAGATTTGCATCAATAACATAATTATTTTTGCATGTGTTTTATTTTGTCAGATAATAATTATTTTGTGTAATAATAGTTAATATTTTTGTAATATTTATTATATTTTGTATTACAATAAAAATTATAAATATAACCTATTTTCCATTTTTTTTAATAATAATTTTATAATTTTAAAATTTGATTTTTATAACAATGCCACCATCAAAAAAAAATTTTGGTCCATGTGCAATTGAAAATTGTCAATATGAAACTTCAAATTTTTGTAACTTTACTGAACTTGCAGCAAAAAAAGCTCAAAAAAGTGGAATCTTAACTATATTAGAATATTCTTATCTTATACCAAATCAACATTAATTATGTAATCATCATTATCTTCTTATTGTAGAACCAAATAGAAATAATCCTAATTATTTTAAAATCAATAAAACTTTTCAAAACTTACAAAAAACAGAAAAATCTTTTAAATTAAAATGGGATAATATTTATTTAGAAATTTTAGATGATAAAATATGTATTCCTAAACAAGATTTTTTAAATTTAGTTTCAAATATTGAATATTTACAAAAAAATCAAAAAGATGAAATACATGAAAAAATTATTAATGAATCTGAAACTATTAATAAAGATTTTGAAAATATTAATGAAAACAATAAATCTAATGGTATTTTAAAAACTAATATATTATATCTTTTAACTTATTTATAATTAATTAAAAATTATTATATTTAAATTTTATAGAAATTAATTTTGCAACTAAATTACAACTTCTTACATTAGTAATTTATAATCAACA